TGCACTCTGCTCCAGCGAAGCATTTCATGCGACACTCCGATTCAACTTTTCTAACCTTGAATAATGCGGTGCTCGGGAGGAGGTTAGCTAGAACGACCTGTGTTGTAGTTTAGTTGTTGGAGATCTCATTTTTTGACACTTTAATTATCAGACAGGGCATTCCTCTGAATGGTGTCGCGTCTGTTATGCGTCCTTTCGGTAAAATTACAAAGAGGAAACACGTCAATAAATGCTGACATTTAAAAATGGTAATGCGATCATCTGACGTGTTTTCTCGCTGAAGCGGGCAATCTCTGTTATTAATCTGTGTTAGTAGAAAAAAGTATTAATATGTTCACTCACTTTGAGTTGCACAGTTGACTTTGCCTGCTACTTAACTTTGACTATCTGGGGCGGAAATGGTAAATCTGGGCGCCTAAAAGAAGCTCCACTAACCCACGGTTATGGTTTCGAGCACCCGGCAGCTTCACTGTTTATTCGTACTCTCATACCACAATTACCGCTCAGCATCGCATCATCGAGGGCCCCTTTGAAACGAATTGACGAATTTACATGAAACCATTTTTGTTACTACCTGTTTTATCGCTGTAGGCGCGTTCGATAAACCACAACAACCAGAGTCATGGTGTGCCAGGCGTCTTCTTTCGCTACGATGTCTTCCCAGTGCGTGTGGAGGTTGATGTGTCGGGTGGAGATGGCGCTTCGATAGTCCGACTGTTGGTTCGCCTCTCAGCCATAATTGGTGGTGTCTTTGCGACGGGAGGCTTCCTCTGTCTCCTCCTCCGGGCTATTACTTCCTTTTATTACATGATGAAGACTTACCTTATGCCTGCCACCCTCACGCCCGGACTTTCCGCTTCTGCTCCCCTAATTCCTGACTCCGACGATTAAGAGGCGGCTGCTGTGTAAATCACATTCCACTCTCCCCTACTTTTCTACCTCATCTTTGATTGATAGTTAAAATGACTTAAATAATTGGTAGTCCTACGCTTTATCTTTTACTCACTTTTAATTTCCGCCAATCTTTATTCCATCTGGCTTCTCCCCATCTCGATTTTTTATGTATTTGCAGCAGCTTATTCCCCTTTTTTTGTATTGAGTGTGGGCTTTGTGTTTACTCCTCTGCTTGCTTGACAAAGCTAACACCGAATGTTCGGTCTAGTCATCTGCATTACATCTCTTTGGTTTTTTACTCTATATTCTTGCAGGGCGATAAATTGTTTGCTCCGTCCATTTAAAGAGTGGTGCTACTTTCATTCAAGTTGGGCGCACTTTGGAATTGTCAAAGGTACACTCCCCAAGCGATGCTTCCATGCCTGTTTTTCATACAGATGTGATTTTGTAATAGGAAATGTAATCCAGGTAGGGACCCCTTCTCGATGCAAGTTAATGGCATAGAAAAATGGGACTGCATACAAGTGGAGTCCCTCACCACCTTCACTACCTTAGTACTTTCGAGGGGAAAGGCACTTTTCCATGAGTGATTGCTTCCCACATTTAATAATGAGCAATCGTACCGAAATACATACACCATGAAGTTAGGGTAATGCACGATAGGTGATGATAAATATGTAGTAAAAATGTTGAAATCGATGTTAAAAGTCCTCCCTGCAGCTGTTGTCACCGTCCTGATGACTGGATCGACTGCTACGAGGATGTGATGACAGCCGTTGGTGGTGCTGTGGCTGACGCACAGGAGTGCGGTGTCGATCCTGGTGTCGAGACAACTTGTTGTTCAGTCGTTGTGCCATCTGGGTAACGCAACGAGCTGCAGCATAGGCTCCGCTACTGGCAGAGGAAAAGTCATCGAGCTCCGTCTGAAAAGACGTGAAGACAGGGAAAGGGGCATCGCCAATCCTTAGGCAGTGTCAAGTCTGAGCCAATGGTCTCAAATTCATTGTTTCAGATTAATACGGTAAAAACGAACAAGCGGAATTCGAGAAGAAGTTCACGTGAGGAAATTTTAACAATAAAATCCCGAAGATTTGAGGTTTGTGAAGGTCTACCTAGTCAGGTTGGTTCTTGGAACCGACGCCAAGGAGGAAGGGCGACGAAGCCGAAGCAAAAGCAGTTATGGTATGCGCTCTACCACTTTAAAAACTTCTGAGCCACGCAAGAGCAGATAAGACGATGACCTTTTAGTCCTTAGCAAACAGCAAGAATAAACTTGAGCCTTAGGAGCTCACTTTTCACGTTCACTAGACCTTGCACCAAATAAGTGCTTGGTTTTGTTGCTGTAGTTTTATCATTATTGCCTCTATTTTGCAAACATTTGTAGTGTCAGAGGTGAGTTGAAAAAAGACAGGTGTCAAAGGTGTGCTGTAGATAGCAAAGTTAGAAATAGGTCAAAACTTCAAAAAAAAAGGAAATATTAACAGATATAACATAAACA